GGGAAAGGACGAAACCTATTTAAAGGCGAAAGGGCTTGCGTAACCCCGATGGCACCGGCAAAGCAAGACACTCGCGTTCAAGAGACGTGGCCGCGATCGAAATCGACGGCCCAGATTGTCCTTCGCAACTCGTTCTACAGTTGCGGAAGAGCCACTGGAAAAGGGAACGGGCCGGTCAAAGCCCTAAACCCGAACCAAAACTCACGACTTGATCTAACGGCCGGGTTCGAAAACCACGGCCACGATGCGTCGTGGGGCAAAATGCACGAAGCTGACATCATGTTGTCAAGTCACGATCACCACGACCCGATGAGACCACGCCGCCATAGCGGGGAAGCACGAGGCCATATCGACAAACATGTGGCCCATCTCCCATCTGATCTGGTTCCGCCCAAAAAAAAGGGGGGGAGGTCTCGCTTGCGAATACTTGGCCCGACCCTATGAGTCGCGCGAAACTTGGCTCCCAAAGACTAATTTCGCCTTGACGATTCATTCGCCCTTAAAGGTAAAATTACAAACGAAGCCAATAGAATGACCTCGCTTAAACGGTTAAACCCACGCCTTAGACGGCTAAGGGTTAGAGCAGAAATCTTAGCGTTAAGCCTAAGAGAAACTGTTTAGCAACTCATCATACTGAGGGGAATAGTATGGCTAGCCCGATTCAAACGGTAATCGGTAAAGGCACCTCAAACCCGTTGATAGCTGAGGATTTGCTAAAAATCCTAAAAGAAATCAAATGCAATCAAATGCGCTTGCTTCGCCAAGAATTTCTTCGTTCAAAGTATTCCAGACCACACGCAAGCCAGTTTAGGTCTGAAAACTTTGAAGGGGGTCTTGTAGACGGTAAAAAATACCTCTGATAAGCCTACAGGAAATCCGCCCTCAAGAAGTCGCCTGCCTAAGCCGCATAGTCGTCAAACGTGCTCGGTTCCAGATTCGCCTGAATAATCGACTCGCTTGCACGAGTTGAGATCAGTTGGAATAGCGGAAATTCGCCTTTCACGCGACTCGCCTGCCCGAGTCAAGTCGAATCCGCCTGCAAACACCGGCGTTCGGCGAACTGTCCAAACCCACTCGAGTACCAGGAACACGCTTTCCCGCCTCTCCTGACCTGAAGAGAGAAGGCACGGCACTCCAGGCCCGCCGAACAAGCCGCCTACAGTACGAGTGAGCAAACAGGTGTCAAAACAGCCTGCACCCTCATAAATGCGGCTCAACTCAGTTGTCCAAATGAGGGGGACGAGAGCCACCGGCACTCGGTGGTTGGTCAGATCCACGCAAGCATCTGACAGCCGCTGTCACGCATACGAGGAGGGGCCTTCCCACTCTTACGAAACGTGATGCAGAGCACAGCACTTCGAATGACCGCTGGCAGTACGAAGAACAGCAGGACGTCTCCGAACCACGTATGGTCACATCCCATGATTCAAGGAGAAGTCAAGCTGTCCTTCTTCCATTTAAAAGCCCCTTTCAGCACACTGGAGGAGAGGTCGCAAAACTTGGAGAAAAGTAATTGAGACCAAGCTGTTAGCAGATCCTTGCATTACAGCACCACTGCCTAGTTCTGAGCTCCGATCGCCGGCGCACTAAGCAGACCCGAACTCCATCGATTCGAGCTTCTACTGCGAACTGAAGCTCTCCAGCAACCTCGGTCAAACGGTCCAAGGGAAGCATACTCGACACGAGCATCGAGCGAAGCGTCCTATAGCCACCTAAAGTCCCCACACAAAACAAAGAGGGCATTCCCTCTGATTCTGTTGTAAACATTTGATTATTAGTTTGTAATAAGCTTTCTTATTAATACAAACGAAACTCCCTGTTTTCGGGAAATCAAATTTTCACCATACACGCACAAAGCACATCGATGTCAGATTCTACTTTATTCGTGGAGACGTCATATTAGAGAAGGGCCACACAAACGACAACCCTGCAGATATGTTGACCAAAGTTGTTTCAGGAGTAAATTTTGGTCATTGTTTGAAGTTTTTGAACATTCTTCAATGTTGATGCTTTTGGAGGCCATTTCGGTAAACTATGTTCGGCTTGATTTCTTAGGCAAGATGATACGTAAGCAGTCTTTCAGATACAGCCGGTTTGATCTGTTGATTCAGATGGGAGGAGATCACGTTTCAGCTCTAGTTTGGTTCCCGGACTTGTTGCGGGACTTTTGGATGATTTGGTGTCGGTTCAGTTTTGATAGAAACATTCGCTGAGGTGGATAATTAAAGAATTGGCAAACAGCTAAAGAAAACAACCCAGAAATTCAGCCAGGCAGACTGGCGGGCGGCCGCGAGTCAGCGACGGTCGACCGCGAACGTGCATAAGGATTAGGAAGAGCTAGGAGCTGAAGGCGGTCAACCGCCACGGTCGATCGCGTGGACCCTGTAGGATTTTTGGGCTCTGTCGTTTGGTTCGGTCGACCGTCGCGGTCGGCCACGATACCTGCGCGGTCGACCGTAGGTTGTTTGGGCTGGGCTTTGGGTTTTCAACCCGGTTCGTTTTGGAGCTGATATATAACTCTAATCCTGATTAGTTAGGGTTAAGCAAGGACAATTTTGAGCAGTCTTTTGGAGAGGATTGCTGCATCCAATTATGGGAGATTTGTAAGAGATCTAGAGCTTTGTTTTAGGGTTTGATCGGTGAGATTTATAACTCTATTTGTATTCTCTTGATTTCTAATAGTAAGAACTCCCCCCTGCCCCGTGGACGTAGGCAACTTGCCGAACCACATAAATAGTTTGTTCTTGTTGTGATTGTGATTTGCTTAGTGGTTGTGATTTATCTCAAGTTATTGTTCGTGTCGCTTCGAGAACTTCCGCCGCGCACAACACCATCTACATCTACTGTTAATACAACTAAAATAAGTAACACAATATAAACATGCACACAAGTTTTTATAATCAATCAGTTTTTGAAACAAATTTCTCTTCATCCTTATTTAATGGCTATGCTTGATTCTTCTATCCCCATCCTTCTATTAGAAGCTCAACTGCATGTCTGACACGTATGACACTAGATTCATCGGCAGAAGTAGTTAAAATATTTCATACTTTCTCCAGTGTATTATATTTACCTGAAATATGATGACATTGATGTATATGTATGAAAGATCATACTCATACAATCACACCAACCACCAGTGATGTTGTCAGACTATCTAGTTGTTGCTCATTGATTGATATTGTCTTCCTCACATTCTCCACCATAAAAAACTCCTTAATGACCAAATATACCTAATTAGCTCATGCACCACTCTATTAAAACTCCTAGTACTTAATCTCTTCATAGCCTCTGAACCATATTTAGGATCAAAGAACCCTCAATCCCCTGATCTTCGACATCATGAACTCAGTATAATCATCCCCTAAATGCATCAATGATAAGATCTCCTCCAAGTTAGTCTCCACCTCTCTTGGATCCGGCCCTTTGGGAATCCCAATGGACAACAAATTCTTGATGCGGTGACAGAGTCGTACTCTTCAATGTCGAGCGACATCGAGGGACTGCGAACGGCGAAATGCAGCGTCGATGCGGGAGAGGGCGAGATGCACTCGAGATTAGGCGAGGTCGAGCTGGCAAACGCGAGAGGAGACTTGATCGGAGAGGGAGGCAGTGGAGGAGAGGGAGGAAAGGAGGAGGGATGAAGCAGAGCGGACGAGGGAGAGGAGACAAGAGGAGGAGCGGTGCGAGGAGGCTGCAGTCAAGATCGGGGCGGGAGGAGAGGAGGGAGTCGAGGCGGACGTCAAGAGAGCGCTGGTAGGCGATGCCTTCGTGAAGGAGGCGGGTCATTGTGCCGACGTCGGTGAGGGATCAAATATGGGTTAGGTCTCTGGGGTTTGAGCAAGAGAAGAGAGAAGAGAGAAGAGAGAAGAGAGAGAAAGAACGGATTAAGGAGTAGACTTGAGTTTTCGCAAAATATTTCTCTGTGCTGACTTGGAAGAGTACATAGGGGCTAAAACACGGTTATTTACTATATTGGGGATTGTCTCACATGAAAAATAATACAGTGGGCCTAACCACAT